GCCCCATTGACCACAACTCTCTGACTTCTTCCCTTCAACCAATTAGCGACCCACCTCACTACTTGGTCATCCAGACCACACTTCCTCAGTTTACCTCTGAGGATGCTGTGGGAGGCGGTGTCCTCCCAGCAATAGACTGCTCCAGTGTGGGCTTGCTTCAGGTGCTGTCCTCTGCTCCAGTGTGGGGTCCTCCAGGGGCTGCAGTCTGGACCCTTTACCACCATTAATCCCCTTGGGCTGCAGGGGCCTGGGCTGCAGGGTCTCAGGCTGCCATCTCACAACAGCCCTTGGAAACTTCTGCTCTGGTGCACTTCTACCCCTCCTTCCTCACTGATTTTGGTGACAGCACAGTTGCTCTGCTCACCTTCCCCTCCTCTCCAAAACAAAGAAGTTCCGGACACAAAGGAAAAGAACAGTTGGACTTTGATGATCTTAAAGGTCGTTTCCAACCTACACAATTCTATGATTCTACGTTGCCCAACAGGTTTCCCCTCTTAAATACATTGATCAAAGAGGTGCTGATTGGCTCAGCATTGGCCAGAGGTGGGTCCAACTTTTAGCTGGGGGACGCTCTGGAGATTTCCCATAGAAGCCACTCAAATAGCTCCCCCCGCTACCAAAACACCCTGCCAGACACAAACTAAACATGCCTATTTTTAAAGTTTATGGGATGCTGGCCCCATTTTTACCTCATAGATTTCCAATTTGTGTGTGAAGTGGGCTGAGTGAGACTGCTCCACAGTGGACTTCACATTTTGAGCATCATGTAGGATATAGCACTGTGCTATAACTACCAGGCCCTGTAATATCCGATATGTGTCTGAAGTTGTAACTCTGAGGTTCCTACTGAATGGACTCAACTTGGAGTCCCATCTTAATTTGAGAAACACCCTCATTGCAGAGGGCCACTGCCTTTCGCTGCACATTTGTTGGTCTCTCCTGATGGCAGACTAGACAAAAACATTATTGAATGGGCTGTGGTGACTCTAGCTGTGGACATACGTCCTGGGCTGATCTAGGTGGACACTGTCAGAGATCCTTCTTTTCCCATCCCCATCTGCTACAGGTTACTCTCCCCAGAACCAGAACTCTGCCACCTTCTCTGTGAGTGTTCCCTAATTCACATCAAGCAAAACCTGGCATGCTAGCATGCACAGCAGTGTAAACCCTCTCGGTGAACTCGCTGGATTCAAGCAGTTGAGCAGACTGTTGTTCTGGAAAAGTTGTGAGGACAGTAACTCCCATCAGAGCAGTTTTGACAAACACATGGAGCACAGTAGCATCTTAAGGCACTACTGCAGTCTACCACTTAAAGGTATTTGTGTGCACATCCCAGGAGCTTGAAGTTGAAGCTGAAGAACAGAGTAGTCATTGCTGTTCTCCACCTCACACCAGGGAGATTGCTGTCCAGCTCATCTCAACCCAACTAGCATGCAGCTAGCATAGAGATACCTCTACATTGCAAACAGACCCTTCTGAATTCATTGCTGTCATATCCTGAATTGTCCTCGCCACACTTTGGGATGGGTTCTCCACATCATGCCTAGATGGTGCCACAGGTTGATGCGAGCATGTAAAAGTTAGGGTCTATCAGATTAAGTTCTCCACCCTGCAGCCAGCTTGAGGTTAGCTCAGTAAAAAAATTAGCAGTTGCGTGCCAACAGCGCACAAAGGAGTGATATTATTAGCATTAAAACCAACAGCCTTTGCTTACCAGCTACATTTTACACCTTGAGCTGCTGAAAAGATGACCATTAATGTATCCCTAAATAGGACTTGACCTCGTTCACAGATATCTTAGCAACTACCTGTGTAGTGAAATGAAAGAAGTTAGGGGAAAGAGGGAGGTTTGGCAGAAATCTTCTTTTCTCTTTGCATCTAGCTTGCTGTCCATATGGATTATATGAGACTTTACTGTGCTTTTCAGAGCTCTGGAAGAAGGTGAAGTGAATGTAATAGTGACAAACTTGTTCACAGAGAACTCAGATGAAACCGAGGAGAAAATTGCTAGCACAATAAAGGAGGCAGCAAATGAACTTCCCTTCTTGGCTACTTACACAAGTATGTAATTCCTTACTGTGGAAGAAAATACTCAGTAGAAACAGAGGTTCCTGTCTTCAAAGATGGTTAGAACATTTCTGTGTGCAGCAAAGCCCATCAGAGCGTAAGCCTCATTTATTTTAAGGAGCTGATTGTTCAATCTTACGTAATTTTGAAGGCTCAACCATTCAGTGCTGCCTTTTTTGTCTTATTAAGGCTTTCTACTTCCTGTGTAAAGAAGAGAAGAAAAATACTTATTCCCAAGTAAGCAATAGCATGTTGATTTTATACCGCTGAGTGTTAAGTGGCTGCAAAAATCAGTATAAAATATATAAAGACACAAAAAGTGTAATACTTAGGGTGTTATTTTCTAAATAAAACATAGATTTTTTAATTTATTTTTTTTTAATATGCTCCTATATAGAAACCAGTTTCCACAAAAGGCAGAGCTAGTGGTTAAAAGAGTCCATTTCATGGCTTATAGCCTGAGTTTGGTCCCTGAAAGTGACTGTATCCACCTCAACCATGATATTTCCTTTGTGCTGGTCCTAAATGTGAGAAGGAAATAGAAAAAAACTGACAGTTCACAAAGTACCAGTTCAGTCAAATCCCTCCACTGCGTGCAACCTGTGGAGGTTTGTAAACCTCCACTGGGACATGGATCTAAAGAGCAACATGCTAGACAAAGAGCATAGTAATATTGCTCACAAAATGAGCTTCATGCCCATAGATATTTATATCTATATAGAACTGTATGGGATCTGGGCCTCACAGTCTAGTTGTAGAAAACACTCAGAGAGTAGTGCTGGGATTTTTCTACAGGTTTTTTTAAGGTGAGTTAGTGTTCAGAATATTAACTTACAAGTAGAATTTCCCTCTTCACAGAGTGCAGGGCAGGAAGTTTTGGAGGCTGAGAAACAGAAAGTCAGAAGATGTGATAGAAATGGTACCTGAAATGGTAAAGAGCAAGGGAAAAGAAAGGGCTGGTCCAAATGCCTGCAGTACTGATATCCCAAAAGAAGGACTTTCAAGTTTTTTTCAGAGTTACTCAATAATTTGTTTATGATTTACTGAGCAAGTGCACTGCTTTCTATGAAATACCATTAATACTCAGATTTACTTCCTGTTTCTCTTTTAAAGGTGAATCCTATTGCGCTGCTTTTAATTGTGATACTCGAACCACATACTGCAACGAAAGTGAGTTTCCAACATGCATATGCAAAGATAACTTGGTGAAAACAGAATGGGATGACCGTTCTTGTTCAAGTAAGAACCTTGCTTCTTTATCTGTCCCTGGAAAGCTGACCTTGTTATTCCCCATCTCAGTCCCTTTTTGAAAAGGACTCTTCACAAATGTGCTGACCCCTAAAATAATCAGGGAATGTGTGTTTTATTAAGAAAGTCACAGAAACACATTCTGTTTTATCCACAATTCTGTCCCAGTAGAATGAACTACTAAAGCCTGAGAAAATTATCACTGAGGAGTGGGCAAATCTTTAAATGCATTGTTAAATTCTTGGTAAGAATTGAAACCAAAATAGGTAAAGGATGGAACAAATAGAATCCTATATCCACAGCCTTCTCTGCTAGGTCATATTTTGAGACTAAGTTTTACATGCTACTTGGAGGCAGCTATGGAGACACTGGTAGAACTGGAAGTCTCATGATGCACTACAACAATCTGTTAAAACTCTGTCCCTTGTTGGTAGTTCTAGGATTTCATTACCTGTGTTTAGACAGGTTTTTGTGGGAAGAGTGATTCATGTGATTTTTAGGAACTGTTAGTTGTCAGGGTTTTCTTTTCTTGCTGCTTTTGAATATTTTAATGTCTACACTTTATATTTTTAACTATCTCCTCCACAGCCCTAAGTACCTTATTTTCTTCTTGTGAGAACTAGAATTTTCACGCTGCAGAAAAAAGCCCAAGAGATGAGATTTTAAGAAAAATAAGAAATGTTACAAACACTCATGATAAAATCATGAAAGCTGGCTACAATCAAGACCAATGAGACATGATCCCATGTAGGCTGTTGTGGCCTCTAACCTGTCTAAAACTTAACCAGTTTTAGATCAGTTGCAACACAAATCATTTGCTCTGAGGTCAAGCTGCAGGACATTGCTTGCCTGTGTAAGATGCAGCCTAGCTAGATTTCCATTCTGATGAAGCTGGATGGTTTTAAACAAAGATTGTTTACTTTTGTGCTTTCGTATTTCAGTTTCTGTTCTACATAAGTATAGTCCTAAAAACCCCATTCTGGTGCTCTGAAGCATAACACAGTTGTGTGCATTTACAGTGACTTAAGAAAGGGGGGAGAATTTTCTTCAATGTTGATTTTTTGGATGCTATTCACTCTTGTATTTCTTTTGCATCTGAAAATCCAGGTTGCGTCGCAACTTGTTCTGCAAAAGAAAACAAATATTGTGTAAGAGAAAATGAGGTTCCAACATGCAAATGCATGTCTGACTTTATGGAGAAGAATGGAGAATGTGTATCGTGAGTACTCAGCTTTTTCCTGAGTTCCTCTGTTCTAGGCAAAGATAAGGAAGAACATCTAACACAGAATCACCCTCGATCTAGAAATACAGGCTATAGCTATGTGAATCAGAGAGGTGCCTAAGGTGCAAATTCTCACGGTGTGACAAGTTATGGTATTTTAACTGCTTGGCATTAGGCATTGATGCACACTCATATGAATGCGCACTCATAAGGAAAGGCAAGAGGAAAACCAAGGAGATCCAAGGTCATCTGTGAGTCAGTGAAGAGGAAAAACTATTTCACGCTTGTAGGCTGCCTGAGAATCTCAGATCGTTTTATTTTAACAATGACACAAAAGAATCCAATATTAAGATAGAATTAAAGAGGAAACCTGTAATTAACACATTGTTTTGTGATCATCTGCTTAATGATATTATATTTATTTTCTTTCTTTCCTCTTCTTTTTTTTTTTCCTCTCATGTAGTTGTCCAGTGGGCTACTCCGGGGACAACTGTAATAACAGTAAGTACAAGGATTTTTGATTTTTAATTATAGCATGGGAAAATACACAGTAACATTTAATCATGCTGATGTTTGAAAGGCAGCGTGCTCATGAGGTCCTTCAGACTGCTGTCTTGGTGCAGGCAAAAGCAGAAGCAAAGACATAGGTGTTATTGATGTGTTAGATACCATGGAAGTGCTTGAGAATGGCTGCGTAGAAATTAGGGTTTCTTCCCCACAAAAAGATGATGGGATCAACAGCCCAACTGAAGTGCATCTGCACCAACGCACGCAGCGTGTGCAACAAACAGAAGGAGTTGGAAGCTGTTGTGTAACTGGGAAACTATGACCTAGTTGTCATCACAGAAATATGGTGGGATGACTTGCACAACTGAAGTGCTGCAACAGATGGCTTTAAACTCTTCAAAAGGGATAGGCAATGAAGGAGAGGTGGTGGGGTAGTCCTGTATGTTAAGGAGTGTTTTGGTTGTCTAGAGATTAATGACAATGATGACAGGGTTGAGTGTTTATGGGTAAGAATCAGGGAAATCCAACAAGGTAGATGCCATAGTAGGAGTCTTACATAACACTCAACCGCGATGGAGACAAAATATTTTATAAGTAGGTAGGAGAAGTCTCACAGTCAGTAATCCTTGTTCTCATGGGGGACTTCAACTTATTAAATGCCTGCTGAAAATACAATACAGCAGAGAGGAAGCAGTCCAGGGGATTCCTGGAGTGTGGAAGAGAACTTACTGACACAGATGGTGAGTAAGCCAAGTAGGGAATGCGCCCCACTGGACCTGTTTTTTGTGAACAGAGAAGGATTTGTGGGTGATATGATGGATGGAGGCTGTCTTGGGCATAAGCAATCACAAAATGACAGCTTTTGATTCTTAGAGTAGTAAGGAGGGAGGTCAGCAGAATAGTTGCCTTGGACTTGTGGAGGGCTGTGACTAGGCTTTAGTAGCAATTCTATTCACAACTGAAGATACACGGAATCCATGTCTTCCTCGTTTAGCCATTCTGGTTCTGCAGCAAGATCAGTGAAAACTAATTTTCTCTGCCAAACATTTATTCAGATATGGGATATTTATGCCGTGTTCATAGTGCTACATAATAGAAACCTCAAATGAGTGTGCCTTATGTGCCTAGGGCACGGCAAGAGCCTATTTGACATCTAACTATGTGTTTTAGCAGCAATACTAGCTTAAGCAACCCCTGCACCCTCCCAGTTTTTCCTGCCCCTCAGCTACAATTACGTGTGAAGTAGTTATTCAGTGCCTGGGATTGGGAACCTGAGCTGGGGTCAAAATAGCCATCCAGAAGAGACAGTTGTTAATGCAGATCAGTTCCTTAATTTACATCTTTTTGTGTCCACAGACAGTTGTAGTGAAACAGCACCAGGAGCATGGGAATGAGTAACACCTAGTTTTCAATATTTACCATGATTTTTCAATTGACATTTGTTGTTTGTTTTGTTGTTGTTATTTTTCCCAGATAGTGAACTTATCCTTATAATAGTGGGGACGGTGTTTGGAGCCATTATCCTGAGCTTAGTGATAGCAGTCTCTGTTGTTTCAGTAAGGTAAGAGCATTTCTTACAGTTGAATCGAGGTTGCATTGCTGCGTGTTCGTAGAGAACTAAGTAGAAATTTAGAGGGGGAAGGGCTGTGAATGTGGTTGCATACCTAGCTGGGAAGACAAGTTCATTTAAGTCAAGTAGTCATTAGAACCTAATTTTGCCTGTATGCTCTTCCTAGAAGTATTTATTCTCTTGCTGTGAATTCAGCTGTGAAAACTTCAGCCAAGTCTTCAAAATACACACATGACCCATTAATCCTAACCCTGCCCTACCCAGTACTGATATGGCATCTGGATAAGACTGGAGAAGGTTGCTGATAGCAGAAAGCTATATGGCCCAAATTCAAACCCTCTGCAGCTCTCCCTGCTACCATTTCAGCTCAAGGTCTGGATACCCCTTTCAGCTCAACAGAGGTCGCATTTTCCACCAAGCATCTCTTTAGAGCTATTTCTAGTGTACTGGCAAATTCCCAATTGTGGTTGCACCTCCTCACTTCTCTCCACGTAATATAGAAACACTCAAGCAGCTCCTCTTGCCTTTGCTCTCAGTGCTGCCCAGGTGAACATGCCCAGAAGACCTCCCAAAGCAGGCACAACTTGCCAGCAGGTGCACAAGCTGGTGCTGCGTGTGTGCGAGATGTATGGACTTGTGATCCCAGACTGTTCAAATGCATCATTTGAATGTCCAGCTATGGCTGCAGGCACGAGGGCAGCTTTTCTTAACTGGGCCTAATGAATGCTTCATTTCTTCCTCTGAATAGTCAGGCAGAGCTGGTGGTGGTTAGGGAAACTCCTTCACTCCAGGAACTAGTTGAAAGAGGCCAAAGTCCCCTTCTGTGTCTCCTAGTAGCTTAACTCCATCTGTGATAAGAGATGCCAGGCTCTGTACTCTGTCATTGATAACACCAGTTTTGCAATAGGAATGCTGGGAAAATCTGTTCCCTGTTTCAGAACAGGAGTATGCATTCAGAGTAGGATGGGAGTGGATAACTCAGTAAGCTGGACTTGCTCAATAAGTAAGGCACACTATAAAGTCTTTTAAAACCTCCTTTGTTCTTTCATTTCCTCTGAAGAGCCAAACGCACTCAAGATCCAGAGAAGAAGAGACTGATAAAGTCAGAATATACCAAATCAGATACCTCTGATGACAAACAGACCAGGATGTTCCCCAGAGTCCAGACCACTTCTGGCCATGCAAACCCAGGATATCAGCCAAACAACCCATACGAGGCTCATTCCACAAATAGAGGTCATTTTCCAGAGAGGGATTATGATGATCCGGTAAGTGGTTCACACAGCCTTACAGGAATTTCGTTCCTGGGCTGTAGTGTTGTGGGCTTCAGACCCTGTTGCAACCTAAACTCCACTCTATCCATCCTCCCTTGGCCTAGAAGGCCACAGCGGCAACTGAAGACTGTACTTGCAGATGAAAGAAATTCCTTTAATGCAGAGATCAGCAATCATTTTATGAAGACCTTACTAAAGCCCCAGTAGTCATCCTTGAGTCACAGGAGGGATATGTGAAAAGCAGGGGTCAGAGCAACAGAGTTTGACTACCCAGTGGTCAGCTGTGTCGTAGGACATTTATTTGTCTGCATTAACCGCACAAAATCCTTCCGCACAGATGCATGTGCAACACCACAGGCTGTCACAGCCTGTGCCTCTTTTAAGCCAGCTGTGGTGTCAATGCGTGCTGTGGGGGCACCTCCCAGCTGCAGCCTCATGCAAGATTCACAGTCAGCTTAAGCTGGCACGGCTGCCCAGACCGTCCTTGTCCTCCCACCCACACTGCCACTGCCTAGTTCACAGCGAGAGCCTCCGCAGTTGCTGCAGCGTTGCAAAGGGGTAAAGGGTGAAGTGGTACAAAAAAGCTAGCACGCGCTTTTGCACTGATCCAGCCCAGGGGAGCCCTGTTCAGCAGAGACCTGTCGTTAGCCGCAAGATATGTTCTGAAAAAAACTGCCTGCTTTAACCCTGAGCTCTGCAAGAGAGCTGCGGTGGGAGCAGGCCCTTAAGAAGGGCTGTGCTGTGATATGATTGCTGCATGCATTGAGTAAACAGGAAGCATGTTGTCCAAATCTCGCTTACCTGGTATTTTAGCTCCACCTCCGTGGTGCAAGAAACTACCCATTTAGGGTAGAGAGTCAGTTTGTAATAAATTCATGTGTTTTGCAGGATTGAGGCCTAAACCACGATAGGTGGAACACAGAAGCCTGATCTGTTTTTTTTTTAAAAAAAACAGAAACAATAAACTTTTAGAATGCTGCCGATTAAGAGAAGAAAAGCATCTATTCAGTTAAATGATTTATCATATTCACATGGCTTTTGTTGTATCTAACTTTCCGAAGATGTCAAATTTTCACCAATGAAAATCTGCATGTTTGGTTTTCCTTGAGGGCGGGTGTGTCACAGAGAGAGGGTTGTGATGTGCAGCATGCTACCTGCTGGACTATTCTGAGAAAGGAGCTTTGTGACCTACAACTACTCTTTATTTCTTTTCTTTACTTGTCCAAATTCTCTGTAGTACGAAATGTCACGGGAGCCTGAAGGCTTTAGGATGCAGAAGAGATACTAAGTGACCAGAATGGCAGAAGGATGGACAACCACCACGACAAAAGGGTCAGACCAAAGAGTTTCCCAGCCTCCCACCACTGCAGTTACTTCAGCAGAAGAGACAAGAAAGTCTATAACCCCAGATTCTCTGAAGATTTTCTAAAGCAAGACTCCTGCTTCAAAGAAATCATGGATGACTCTCTGAAATATGAAGAGGACTTAAAAAAACCTCCTATTGTGCTCCAATAAACACTAGACTTTTTTTCAGGAGATCAGTACACTGGCAAGAGACAAACTGTAGACAGGATACCGGGGTTTCAACCCTGCTGCTTTACAGTTCTTGCGGAAGATGACACAGGCACTATGTATGATGCTGAAAAACCGCAGCACCCAGAGCTTTGCCTGTATTTGTGTTCATGCCATTTCTGCTAAAGGCAGCGTGCATTATGTTGGACAGATCAAAACTGTTTCTGATGAGAACCTAACCTGTTTTGCTATATCAAATACAGTCTTTTTTTTCCTCCTCAACACCCCAATATTTCCTATCTGAAAGCATTCTTGTTCAGATCTCTGCTGACGTGTTTTGTGAGACAATGGTACTTGTCTGGCCGTTTATAAACCCTTCCTTCCCAGTGCAAAGACAAGAAACAATACCTTCAGACAAACACTATTTTCTGTCTTACACAACTACATTGATTTTACATTCTCAGCTCCTGTAGAGAGCTTTAACTTTCTTTTTTCTCTTGTACTCTTTATGTTTTTATTGAAAGATCTTAAGGTTTGGGTTTTTTTTCATTCCTTGCATACGCTCAATCTGTCTGAAAAAAAAATCCATATTTTACTGTACTTTACTGAGTGTGCATCATCTATTAACTAGGAATAACATCTCATATATATATAAATATATATATGCACAAAATGTACATATATTTATAGGTTAAGTTCATTTAAAGCATCATTTAATTCTGTTATACTTTGTGTTTTGGTTTTTATATATGCAGATTAAATTTTCCTATTACACATTCTTGTTTGTCAGTACCAAGGCTTTCTTATTTTGCTGCCCAGTGGTGTAAACAGGTTTTTTTACAACTCCAGAGACTATTTTATGTTAAAACTTGTGCAGGGTTTAGACACAGATGTGCACAGACTGGTTGCATCGGTACCTAGCTTTCATGCAGAGGTTCTGATCGGAAATATTATTAAACCTTAATGAAGATGGAATGTTTATTGCTGTAAGACTGGCACAAATTTTCTATGACTGTTTTTGGTGGCAACTGGGTTGTTAGTTCAGCTGAGTCATATCTTTGGAAATGCCGGACAAGCTGCTCTCTGTGAAGGCAGCTATGTGTGTATGGGTCTGTTAATGCCACATAGGTTAGGAAAAAAAAAAAAAGAGTATCTTTCAGCCTAAATGACAAGTTTGGGAGCCAGTGGTAGAAAACACTTTATGTGGCTGTAGAAGTTACCAGGATGTGCATGCAGATAGGTTATTCCAATGCTCTCAGTGATCAAAACCAGCTCTCACTCACCAGTTACGCAGCTGAAAACTGGGAACTAAGCAGTCTTGATCTTTCTCACCGTGGCTTCTCTAGCAAAAGAAGACAGCTCCTGATTTCTCTGAACTGCCTGCAATGAGCAGTAATTCAGAAGTAGCCTGGTGAGAAAAGGTGCAATTTCCTGTCTGTTGTTTTCCTGGGATTTCATTTTTTCTTTCTTCCCACCGACTCTTGTCCTCTTTGCTGCTGTCACCTGGCTGAACAGCATCAGGCAGGGTGCCTACCCCATAGCACAAAAAGCAGAGAGGCTCCATCCTTCCTCCAGGTAGAAAAGCCTTACAAGGGGAATCAGCACCCTTCCCCAACAATTAAATTAGTGTACGACCCCTCTGCCTGCTGCCACCTTCTTTTTCTTTTGAGCCCTGTGTCTCCCCACATTCCCTCAGTGACAGAGATGTTGCCTACTTGTAATCCCTTTCCTTTTCCCCTTCTACCTGATTTTTCAGCAGCAAGAAAAGGTTCTGTTGCCAGCAGAAAACTCCAAGGAGTTTGCACGGGGTCAGATGCTGAAAAACAGGTGGGATACAGGCAGAAAAAATGTCAAAAACGTCATGAAGTTCAGGGTAGATGTCTACTTCATTCAGCCAACTGCTTTTGCTTGGATACCCCCTCCTCTCCTTCTTTGTATTGCCAGCTAAAACTCGGGGTTATGTGGAGTCTAATAAAAAGATCTCTATATATCAAGAGTAACAGCCCATACATATCGGTCTTTCACCAAGGTAAATTACCTAGTTGCATCAGCTTAGTGTAGAGGATCCTTAAAATACATATAAGAGTAGCCTGCTGCAGAGGCACATGAAAAGGCTTTTAAGTGTTATCTCTTATTCTTTCTCAAAGCAACAGGGGTTGGGAATGCAGCTGAAAGGTCAGTGATAAACGAAACTTCAGGGTAGTAAAACTTTATTGTGGGTGTGATATCTAGGCATTTGCTGTCATAATAAAAGCAGCAAAAATAGTCAGGTGTTTGCGTCATTTAACTGCAGAGGAGTTTTCATTGCTCTAGTTCAAAGTTAATTTCTGCAACCGATTCTCATTTAGCCTGTGCTGGGGAGGGGCTATCAGATACTACTGTAAACCTACAACTCTTTAACATTTCAAAGGCTGCTACAGCTATTTTAGCTGGACTGGAATTCTATACTGAAAGGGAAAACCCTCAGATTTTTCACTTCTGTTTGGCTGTTGTCAGTGTGTGATTCTGTTGGGGAATATGACCATGAAAAAGAGTTGTTTCTGGTATTTTATGACTGGTGTTTCTCGCTTATGCGTTGTTTCAGCTGCCCATCCTTCAAAATCCAGCTGGGCATGGGAAAGGGTGATCCTCACCCACCGGTATGAGAGAGGACATCACTGCAGGCGGGCTGAGAAGCTTCAGGGAACTGCCACAACTTGTTTTCTGTCCTGGGATCTCCCATCCATCTGCTCCCTTCAAGGGTTCTTGTAGGCAAGGTGGCACATAACCCACAGAGGATGTGGGAAGATGGTGCCACTCAAGTCTGCCACTCAGTTTTGTCTTGACCAAAAATTACGTTAGAGAGATCGCACAGGGTGTACTAAAAATGCTAAATGAGTTGGGGACATAGGTTTGCGTGGTAATAACACATGCTTGTATAGGGGTATTTGGATTGCTTAAGTCATTCTTCATGTATCTGAATACACCTGAGCATATTCAAGTGATGCAGGGTGGTAGGGTAAGGGTATGGTGCTGGGGATGGCTGTGGGGTAAGAGTCTGTGTCTCGGCAGCTGCCTTAGTGGAGCTGTCACACAGAAATATGTAGGCACAGTGGAGTAGAGATGGACTGACGGATCTCGTACCATTCATGCTGCTTAGGCCTGAAACCAACCTCAAAACTGAGATATAAAACCCTGCATCCAAATGCTCCCCACCAAAGCCCAGCATCCACAATTGCATGTGAAAAGCAGCACCTTTCAGGCCTAAAATCATGAAGCATTTTGCTTTTTTCTGGTTACCTGCTGGTGAAAACTACTCATTGTTTCCTTTATGAGACTGTTTTTATAGAGATCCTGCATGTGATGTGCCAGGCTGGAGGCATAAAGAAGTGCGAGCAATGAAGGTAAGACACCGTTGTAGACCCAAGGGCTTGATTTCTCACTTCTTGGGTACTTCCTCGACTTTTCCTAGATTTTGGGGTGTGAGCAGAAGATACTGATTTTTGAAGCAACTAGTAAAAAAAAAAATCCTCAAACCCAACCCTAAATGTCCAAAGTGGTCGGAGAACAGGGAAGCCCATAAAACATGTCAGTTTGCAATTAAACAGAAAATAGATAGGGCTAAAAATAAGAATCTGTAAATTGCCTTGCAAAGGATCCTCTAACTGCTGATAAAACGCTCTTTAAATATTTCAAAGCTGCAAAGGCAGGTAGGAAATTGGTGGGAATGCTGATGACAAGCATATAAAAGGGGCAGATGGGGGTGAGGAAGATGTAGCAGAGAAGCTCAGTGATTTCTTTGTGGCTGGTTTGTACAGGTGAGGCTGTTGAGGAGCTTCTCACACTCTGCAGCGGGTCAGCCGGAAGAGCCAGAGCAATCAGGCATAAAAAGGTAGCGTGGAGTAAAGAGGTAGCAGGAGTAAAGGAAAGTGAAGTAACTAGGTAACAGGAGATGTATGATCAAATAGATAAAGTGGTTGTTAATAAGTGACTAGGACCAGGCAGCGCTGATCCAGGGGACTCAAAGGGACAGCACAGCCCTGTGGTACGGGGGGCTGCGGTACCCAGCTGTGTTCCCAGGCACAGACAGCCCATAAACTCACGTGCTGAGCTGTCACTGATGGGTGTCCGAAGCCACTGACTCCGGGTGGCAGCCAAACATCCACCAGAATCTGGGGGTACGCAAAGCTAATGGACATGAGTGTAAAGCAGACAGAAAAAGAGTGCTTTACCTGTGCCAGTGGTGAACTTGCCACATAGGGATGTGGACGCTGTATCTGCGGGTTCAGAAAAAGAGATTAGGCAAATTCAAGGATGCAAATGCATGACAGAGATGTATCCTCTAACAACAGAATGAGAAAGTGAGGGTGCTGAAGGAAGGAGCTGTAAAAGGAGCCAAGCCCATAAGATAGCCCCTCCTATTGCAGTCCCTGGAGCACCGCCTGGGGCTGGAGGGACAACCTGAGCCAGGGAGATATTTCTTGCCTTCTGAACTCATTGACCTGCTTTATTCAACAGCATCAGGGGCTGAAAGGTGACACAGGGGGTCACCTTAATCTAGCTGTGCACCTACTGTGTCTTGTGTGCACTAATTATGCAAAGACTGTTCATAAACAGTGGAGAGGCAGGGTCGGGTGCTGTACACTAGGCCCTTTATTGTTTGTGTAAAAACAGACTCGTAAAAGAAACAAGGGTGTTTTTTTTCAAGCAGATAACTCAAAAAATGCTTCCTGCTTTTGAGCCTGAAAAGTGCTGCCTTTCACGTGCAAGTTCCTAAGAGCAACCTCTGGAGGGCAA